CTGTAGTTGTAGTTTAAATAAACTGTAGTTGTAGTTTAAATAAACTGTAGTTGTAGTTTAAATAAACTGTAGTTGTAGTTTAAACTGTAGTTGTAGTTTAACTAAACTGTAGTTGTAGTTTAACTAAACTGTAGTTGTAGTTTAAATAAACTGTAGTTGTAGTTTAAACTGTAGTTGTAGTTTAACTAAACTGTAGTTGTAGTTTAACTAAACTGTAGTTGTAGTTTAAAAAACTGTAGTTGTAGTTTATTTAAACTGTAGTTGTAGTTTAACTAAACTGTAGTTGTAGTTTAACTAAACTGTAGTTGTAGTTTAAATAAACTGTAGTTGTAGTTTAAATAAACTGTAGTTGTAGTTTAACTAAACTGTAGTTGTAGTTTAACTAAACTGTAGTTGTAGTTTAAATAAACTAGTTGTAGTTTAACTAAACTGTAGTTGTAGTTTAACTAAACTAGTTGTAGTTTAAATAAACTGTAGTTGTAGTTTAAATAAACTGTAGTTGTAGTTTAACTAAACTAGTTGTAGTTTAAATAAACTGTAGTTGTAGTTTAAATAAACTGTAGTTGTAGTTTAAATAAACTGTAGTTTTATTTCCAGCTGAAGGTTTATTAAATAAAGTCAGATTTAATTTCTCTTTAAATGTTTTAAATCAGGTTTGAAGAGTCCACTGATCGGTCAAATAAAATTAATAAGGTTCTGGTTCTGGTTCTGATCATCTGTTCATAATGAGTGACAAGAAGACCCGAACCAGAACCACGGTCAGGATGAAGAACCGGATCRTTTTACAGAACTTCAACTTGTTCTGAACCATGAACGAATCTATCTTTTATTATAAGCAGTGGTTCTGACCCGCTGGACCTCCTGTWGAACAGAACCATCAGTTTCCAGGAGAACATGTGTTAGAGTCACAGAGCGGCCCGGCCCGACGTTCATCAGAACCAAGGTCCGGTCCGCAGCAGCCTGAGCCCTGCAGTCAGCTGGTCCCGGCTCGGTTCTGTTGGACCTGCWGTCTCTGGTACCTCCTCTGCAGGGCCTTCTGCTTCTTCAGCCTGATCTCTGCTGCAGAACATTTACCTGTGGAGGCGGGACAGGAAGTGACATCATCACGTTGGGTTGGACTCAGAATCACTGGAACTTCGACCTGTTTGGACCTGCTGCAGGCCCGACCCGGGTTCTGACCCGTACCTTTACTGGCTGCCATGGTTACCGGGTGGTCCGTCCTCCCAGCTGCTCCTCCTGGACCGGAGGACCCAGCAGGGCCCATCTGGACCCGGGTCATGCAGGTTCTGTGGCTGGGCTGCAGAGCTGCTCTCTGATGGGACAGAACCGGACTCTGTTTGGTGATGATGTTCTGGTTCTCCAGGTCCTCACACAGTTTACACAGCAGCTCGTCGTCAGCCGGGTYGTCCCAGACCGGGTCTGATGAGAACAGGAAGTCCAGGTCCATGAAGTCCACTGCATCCGGTCTGAAGGTCTCAGAGGAACTCCTCTGAGGTTCTGGTCTCAAAGGGTTTGAGTGACAGGTTGGCTYGGTTCTGTGCAGTCCGGTTCCAGTGGGAGACCCGGTCCTCTGACTGTCTTTAGATCTATAATCCACCTGTTGGTCCTGCAGGTCCGTTTGGGTTGTGGAACCAGAAAAACCAGGTCTGGACTCCAGTCTGAACGTGGCTCTGGGTCTCAGGTTCCCCTTCTGTGCTCTAGGTCCGACCCGACCCGCCAACCTGCCAGGACCATGCGRTTCTGTTGGTCCTGATGATTTCTGGGTGGAGCAGAACTTCGGGGGGATGAGGTTCTGTGGGTTCTGGATCATGTCCAGCACCAACAAGTCCTTTAACAAGTCGTCATTTTCCCAGTCGTCCTCGAATGCATCATGGGTAAAACCGGACCCACCGGACTCAGGTGGTCTCCTACAATCCTCCGAGGGACCTGAAGGAGTCTGCCCGAGGTCCCAGCTGAGGTTCTGAGTTGGTTCGTCAAACAGGAAGTCCAGGTCGTCCAGCTGTTGGTCCTGGTCCAGGTCTGTCCCTGTCCCAGGTGCTGGGTCCACAGCCAGCTGACGGTCCTCTGGAAGAGATGCTGAAGCTTTGCTCTGATGGATGTCCTGGAGCTCTGCTAACCGGTCCAGGTCCTGCAGGTCCAGGTCCTGCAGGTCCAGGTCCTGAGGGTCCAGGTCCTCCTCATGTGGATGGCAGAGGTTGTGGTCGAAGCGTTTGGCGAGCCGCAGCAGGTCCTCCACACTACTTGCTCTGCGGGGACAACAAAGACCAGGTTCAGRTTCTGAACTGAAGCTCACCAGAACCTTTTGGTCCAGCTGTGGCTTCAGAACCAGAACCATCTCAGTGGACAGCAGAAGTGGACCCACCTGGGGGATTTCCTCTTGGTTCTGGGAGTCTGAAGGTCCGGAGTACAGGGGATGGTGGCGCTGTCTCCGATCCACTGCTGCAGGCCCGGTTCTGCAGCTTYGGGTCTGCCGCTCTGAACCAGAACCAACCAGAGATCAATGACATTTGGATCAGCTGATCGGACCWGGACAGAACCTGTGAGTTTAAACTGACAAGTCTTTAAACCAATGAGAAGAGGCTGAGTTAGTTTTATCCAATCAGAACAGAGTGGGCGGAGCCTCAACCTGAGGAGGAGGAGGAGGAGGAGAACACTCGTACAAAGTAAACATTAAAAACAAATAATATATTTATTAAGTCATATTTCTGATATTTTAATAAAAAAACAAGCTAAATATTTGGAGGAGACACACACACAGACACACACACAGACACACACACAG